AGTGAAATAAATTAATAAAAAACGAAAATAAAATGATGAAATTGCATTGTACAACATTTTTAATAAATATGGCGACAAAATAAGGACAATAGTCCGAAAGTAAATAATAATTGATAATTTCATTTCAGAAATATAGACAAATTATTTGAAGAATTGTTGAAAGAAATTTGACATTTTCTATTCTGTTTTAAGAACTCTAAATTGAAAGAACTATTTTTTTCAACATTATATTATATTTGATAAATGATCCTATGGACATAGATTGCGTAAAAAACTCTCCAAATTCTCTGTAGATTCGAGTGCCTTAAAGATTATTCCTTTTAGCATCAATTGTGTTTTTTTTTTTTTTTTATCATGAATACATTGAAAAAAACAAATATTCGCAAAAATAATTTTTTTTTTATTTAAAATTTTTAACGAATAGACATACTTTATATATAATTTGATGTAAAGATGCAAATATTTATGCTATAGAATAAAAATATTATTTTCAAAAAAAACAAAAATTTTAATACATTTGTTTTAAAAAAAAACCAACATCTAAACAATGCAAATAATTTTTTTTTAATTTTTTAAAATTGATTTAATACGATAGATTAGAAAATGGAATATTAGAAACAAAATTTAATTTATCAGAAGTTAATTTTAAAAAAAAATCTGTTTATTTATATTCGTGCAAGAAGGTTATCATATCATGACAAAAGAAAAAAAGAATTGACAAATTTAAGAAAAAAATGATTGTTATCATTGGAAAGAAAAACAAGTTACAGGAAAAATTCAAAAACAACCTGAATATTGTTAAGCCATAACATTAGTTCATTTATTGAAAGGAAAATAAAAACTCAAAATTTATTGACAACCAAGAGGAAAGATTTCTTCAATTATCTTCGAGGAAATTAATGCGTCAAATTAAACAAAATCCAGGGTCAACTACGTCAAGCCTTGCAGGATGATTTAACTTTAACCAGGAATAAATGAACATTAATTTTAGCAAAATTTCAATACGAACAATCTATAATTTAAAATTTTTGTTGACTCAAAAATTTCTTTGAAAAAATTTATTAAGAAATTTTTGAAACTTTTTTCAAATGGTTGTAGATAATTTTCTTGGAATTTATATCCTAATTTAATTCTTTTTTAATTTAGTAGCTCAAATTATTTAGGTTCTATATATATATATATAATTTATATATATCAATTATATATATATATATATATATATATAAATATAAATATATATATATATATATATATATATATATATATATATATATATATATTATATATATATATATATATATATATATATATAATATATATATAATATGATAAATATATATATAATATATATATATATATATATATATATATATATATATATATATATATATATATATATAAAATAAATACTTGAAATCATAATTGCTGTCGTTAAACATCTCCTTAATTTTTGGAAATGTCATTTTCATTAATTATTTTTACCGAACTGAAAAAGAAAAGAATAGGTTATTATTATTATAAAGTAGTAGTAGTAGTCCGGAATTATTTAAGAGAGTCTACCAAAAAAAAAAAAGAAACAGTCTTTGAATTATTAAACAATAGGCAAGACAGAATGATTGTCTTCAAAATGTTATATATTTTTTAAATTTTCAAAATAAAAATATATAAATCTACAAAAATTTATAAAGTCTTTCTACAAATTTAAAATTGTAATAAAGGAAACGGATGTACTTGTAATCAACATGTCAAAATGAATGAAACGCCGCCAGTGTGAAGGCAGGCAACTAGAACGGGCTGAATATTAACACTGCGTATTTTGTTTTCTGTTTCTTAAATCGGGCTCTTAACTGCTGAAATATATTGGCAGAGTTACGTCAATCATTTACTTTAATAATAATAATAATAATAATAATAATAATAATAATGTCACAAACAAGAATTTACAGTATTATACCAACCAAGCTGTCTGAAAAAAAATGCTATGATTTGTATTTGCAAGGATATTTTAAATTTAAAAAAAAAATAACTATATTAGAATCAATTTTTATTTATATATAAATATAATTAAAAAAATCTTTAATATAAGAAAAGAAAAAAAAAAAAAACATTTCAAAAATAATTATTCCCGTTTATTTTTGTAATTTTCACTTTTCTATGATAATTCTTAGAAACACTATCTATATTTTTAAATTTTCTATGAAATTAAAATTTATTTCAAATTTTTTTTTGTGTAATTTTTTTAACTTTAATTATTCATCCATTATTAAATTTTTGAAAAACGAAATTTAATATCTTTTCTTTTTATTGACAACTTTCAAAAGACAAATTTCAAACAAAATATCTTGAATTAGTCCAGACCTTTTAATAAAAAAGCAAGTCAAAAAAGAAATTATGAACAAAAAAATTAATTTTATTTATTTTATTTTTATAAAATTTTTTTTTTTAATAATAAAAAGAATAATTTAATTTTTTTTCGTTTTTTATTAAATGAAAAATTTTAAATAATTTTAAATTAAGATTTATTAAAGCAAAATTTTAAAGTTTTATTTTTTGAAAATTATTTGAATTTAAATATAATTAAATTCGTAAAACAAATATTCAAATAATTAAAACCATAAGTAATATATTATCTGATTAAATAAGAACCTTTTAATTAAAAATTTTTCTTGAAAAAAAAAAAATAGAAATAGAAAATTTTATTTTTTATATCGTTATTTTTTAATTATTTTTCAATTTTTTACGCCTAAAAATTTTTATAAAATCAATTAAATATTGTTACATAAAAATATTTATATATATATATTTTATAAATATAAAAATTTTAAGGCAGAATTTTCAATTTTTAATAATAAAATTTTAATTTGTTTCTCATTTTGTTTATTATTGATAAAAAATTTTCCAATTTTCAATTGTTTACGCAAAAAAATTTTATAAAACATATAAATGTTTCTGTTATTTTAAAAATTTTGATTTATTCTCATATGAGTTACGCCTAAAAATTTTATATATATATGAAAATTGTTACGCAAAAAAAAAAAATGATGTATATCAATTTAATTGTTGTTTTTTAAAAATTTTGACAATTAGGTCAATTAAAATTACGCCTAAAATATAAATAAATTTCTCAATATTTACGGGGAAAAACCATTTACTTCTAAATTGTTACGCCTAAAAAAAATAATAAATTTAAAATAAAAATTGTTGAAAAAATTAATAAAATTTTATAATTTAGAAATTGTTACGCATAAAAAATATAATTTTTTATATTTATTTCAATATATAATTATATAAAATTTAATGTATAAAAAAAATTCATTCAGTTCGTTACACATATTCAAAAAAAATATTAAATATATATATATATATATATATATATATATATATATATATATATATATATATATATATATATATATATATAGATATATATCAATAGATAGATAGAAATCTAAAGCTGGCTTTCCCTGACGATCCGTTTAGGTGAAACCTGTTTAGGTTTGTCTGGCTCACTAGGTGTATCTAGGTCTGCTCTACGGTTGTATTGAGCTCTTTTTGTTAGTTAGTTGTTTACTCGTATCGGGGTTTTTTCTTTGGGCTTCAGACCTGCATCTGTGATTTTTTTTGTCGGCAGAAGTTCATGTTTGTAGCTCTTTTTTTTTTTAAAACCTTTTTTTTCCCTCGAGATTGATTTGATTAGCAAATCAAAATTCGAGGGTTTTTCGAAACGAGTATAGTTACCTATATATATATATATATATATATATATATATATATATATATTATATATAGAGAGAGAGATTTTTATCGTCTTATTGGGCTGAAATGATATGTTGGTTCACTATGACGTAAAGTTAATTTTTATCTAAGAACCTATCTACCATTCTTCCATGCATTGAATATTGCCGTTACATCTTCTCTGCTACTTCTACTATGCATTTAGAGATTCTTAATAAAATCCAAAGAAGAATCTGCAATGTTAGCATTCCTGACCTGGCATCTCGGTTATTTTCCCACAGGCATAATGCAGCTTCCCTGTGACTTTTCTATAAATATTTCCATGGTAATTGTTCTGATGACATTCCCATTTCGGTACCTGGATAAACGCAGTACTAGCTTGGTTCATAAGACTCATCAATTGAAATAATTAGATGTTACCGTAAGTTCTATGCTAGCAATGTCTTCTCTCGCACTTCACGCTTGTGGAACACTCTTTCGGCTTTATGCTTTCCAGTCAGGTTTTACCTTCAAAAATGTAAATGGAACATCATTCGTTCTTTTATTGTTCCCTCTCCTTCATAATGATTTTTCTCAAAGACCCCCCACCCTTGCGACTTAGTGGCATTATCTCCTTGCTTGCATTAAATGATTAGAAACAAATATCACAGTATGAAGCGAGAAGTCGAATTTTTTCAGATATATTTGCGATGAGTAAAAAGTAATTTGCAATTTTCCCCAAAGAGATAAAAACGCCATTGTACACGGATGTAGTTATGTTTTGATCAGTAATATCTTCAAATACTGATTCAAAAATTTCATTGACAGATTTAATGAGTTATAGATGTGTAGAATAATGAATTTAAATAAGTATTATCACAACGTTTTGTAATATATGGTTTCGTTGAAACAGACATTATTTAAAAAGTACTCGACATTATTCAAAATTTTCTCTTTTCTTGAAAGATGTAATTTGAAATGTTGAGCAGATTCGAAATAACTGACTCAGTCTGAAGCATTCGTTCTTCCAGTGGTAGTACCTAATGTAATCGTGCATGATTTCATAGAAGCAGTCATTATTTACAAAGCACTCGGCATTCGTCTTAGCTAATGTCTTTTAGTCTTAATAATCATTTTACTATAGCTTCTTTGCTTATCCATTTCTATAGACAGAGTGTTGAAAGATGTAGATATGAAATGTTGAGTAGATTTGAAATAACTGACTCACCCTGAAGCGTCAGTTTTCCAGTCAAAGTACCTCATGTAATCGTGCATGATTTCATACAATGCATTCGACACTCGTGTTAGCTAATGTCCTTCAGTCTTAATAATTATTTTACTATAGTCTCTTACCTTATTTATTTCTATAGATAGTGTGTTGAAAGAAGATATGAAATGTTGAGTAAATTCAAAGTAACTGACTCACCCTGAAGCGTCCGTTCTTCCAGTGGAAGTACCTCATGTAATCGTGCATGATTTCATAGAAGCAATCAGCGATGTAGTCACACCTCATCATGTCCATGCTGTTCTTGGGGTAGAAACCTGTAATAATCAGTTATCATATAAATTCATATTAATCTTAAATAAAATTAATTTGACATAATTATTGTTATTTTTAAAATTTCAAATCACTATTGAACTTGGAAAGTAGAAACAGCAAATTGTTACAAGTTCGATAATCTGTAATAATAATAATATATATATATATATATATATATATATATATATATATATATATATATATATATATATACAATAGTAACAGCAAAAAGTGTCCAAGTCTGTGTATCTGCATATTGTTCAAGTGTTTAATATGTAAAAGTCACTAAACTAATTGAGTTTCTTTTTTATTGGTTTTCAGACAAGCCATCTTGATAATATTTGTAAGAATCACCGAAAACCCTTTCAGAAAGAGAACAGGTTAAAATCGTTTTGTATCAGCTCCACTCTCTTCCCAACTGAGCAATGGTGAGATGAAAAATGTCATTCAGACCTTTAGTTATGGTACCAACATTCATAATCTGGGTTCCACCATCGAAATCCATTCTAGAACCATCAAGAGGACAGTGAATAAGTTTAAAAAAGAGGAAGCAGTTGAATGGAAAACTGGATCAGGAGGTCACAGAAGGATCATTATTTCAACTTAGAGCTGAAGAGATCAATTAGAAAAGATCCAACTCAATTCATAAGACGTTTGGAACGTGAGAGAGGGGTTTCAGCAATGACAGTCCAAAGAACAGTGAAAAACCACTTGAAAATGAAATCGTGCATGAAACCGTTGAGGCACCTTGTTACACAAGAACATAAAGTTAGAAGTTAAGAGAGGACGGGGATCATTTTGAATAAATTGGAAAATGATCCTGAAATTGTATATATATATATATATATATATATATATATGAAATGACAATCTTAGATTTTGCCGATGCGTTTCGTCTTCCGACTTTTTCAAGTCAAAAATGAAATCGAAATGTTTTTGTTGTTATAGTTACATTAAACAATCCAAATTTAAAAAGATAGACGCTTGTGTCTAAGCCTTTTTTTCTGGTTAATGTAAATTACCTTTATAGTAAGGGATTATTATTTTTTTACATGTCGACAATATAGTTATATTTCCAGATGAATTCTGTGGACAAGACAGATTGGTATAATATGACAATTGGAAAAAAATATTAGATTTTGCCGACACGTTTCGTCTTCCGACTTTACGCATTGAATCAAGCCAGACCTTGAACATTAAGCGAGCATATTATGAAAAATATACCTCGTATTTTTTTTCATTTGGAGTGAAAATTAAATAAATAGCAGGATATTATAAATTAATCTCTCATCGGATATGAAGCTAGCACTAAGTTTATCAGCTTAAGATCTGACTTGGTTGAACGGTTTAGCACTATTAATCCGGAAAAAGGCATTATTCCCTATTTTCTCTGTACATGATTAATTAGTACGGCTCTCTGTCTATCTATCTATCTATCTATCTATCTATCTATCTATCTATCTATCTATCTGTCTGAATATATTCATATCTATTTCAATCTATTCATATCTACCTATTCATATTTATCTCGATCTGTTCGTATCTATTTAAATAAATCTATCTATCTATCTATCTGTCTCAGTCTATTTATTCGAACTATCTATCTATCTATCTATCTATCTATCTATCTATCTATCTCTGTTCATATCTATCTATCTATCTATCTATCTATCTATCTATCTATCCCTGTCTCTTCATTATATCTATCTATCTATCTATCTATCTATCTATCTATCTATCTATCTATCTATCCATCCCAGTCTCTTCATTCTATCTATCTATCTATCTCTGTTCATATCTATCTATCTATCTATCTATCTATCTATCTCAGTCTATTAAAATCTATTTATATTCATATATGTCTATCTCAATCTAATCATATGTATCTATTCATATCCATCTATCTAGCTAGCTAAATCTGTCCAATTTCTATCTATCTCAATATGTTCATATATATCCATCTATCTATCTGAATATTTCATATCTATCTATCTATCTATCTATCTATCTATCTATCTATCTATCTATCTATCTATCTATCTATCTATGTTCATATCTATCTCTGTTCATATCTATCTATCTATCTATCTATCTATCTATCTATCTATCCCTGTCTCTTCATTATATCTATTTATCTGTCTATCTATCTATCTATCTATCTATCTATCTATCTATCTATCTCAGTCTATTAAAATCTATTTATATTCATATATGTCTATCTCAATCTAATCATATGTATCTATTCATATCCATCTATCTAGCTAGCTAAATCTGTCCAAATCTATCTATCTCAATATGTTCATATATATCCATCTATCTATCTGAATATGCTCATAACTATCTATCTATCTAGCTAGCTAGCTACTGAACACGACCCACTCATTATAATACCCTCTGTTGATTTCCTAGCAAGCACAATCGAATTGATTTCAATTCGACTAATACCCAAAAGTATTTTAATCAAGGCTAGAATGTCTCATTTCGAAATATTGATTTTACATTTTCGAAAATTAAATCCACAATAAATTTAAATACATTTAATGTCGACAGTTTCACTTCTCTATTTTCAGAAAAATTAAATTTCACTTCGAACTTTTCAGAAAGAGAATAGTATTCCTTCATTCTTTTTGGAAGACAATTTGCTTATGTAAATATCATTTTGAATCCAACTCACCGTATTCCCTGGCCAAATACCTGGCAATGGCCAGAGTCACAGGCATCCTAATTCCACCTTTCAAAACAGGGACACACAAGCATGTCTATAAAATGCATATCTAAAAAATGCACTTACCGTATTCCCTGGCCAAGTACCTTGCAATCGCCATAGTCTCAGGCATCCTCATGCCACCGTCCATCTCCAAGACTGGGACGCACATGCAAGGCATATCTGAAAAAGAGAAAAAGAATTATGTAACCATTTATCACACCCGTTTCTATCTGCATAATTCTACACGAAATATTTTAAAAAAATGGATGTCCAGTTGTATCCGAGGATTACCGTCTACTAGGGTGGCTAGCCAATCCATGTTAAAGCACATTTGTTTTTCTTCAAACTAAACCGACTTGTGGTTTATAGAGCTGGCTGCATGCTTATCAGCCAACTTTAATTTGCAAAGATTTAAATGTAATGTCCATCGCTATCTACTGTCCTCCTCATTACTCTTTTCTTTTCCCGCTCATTATTAATGTTTCTGTTCGTAATTCTTCCACACCCAGTAACCCCTTGTATCTTAGTAGCTTTACTCCCTTGTAGAATAAAATATTTTTCGTTTTCCTTTATCCAAATATAGTCTTATGTAAAGCTAATTTCAAACAATATTGTAAATCCATTTTTTAATCAATATCATCCCATGCAAACCAGTAAACAAAAGATACAAGGGGTTACTGGATATGGAAGAATCACAGACGTACCCTTGCCTCCCTCTGTCTTTTTTAGAGATACTTTCACGTTAACTGCTCCGATGAGCTGCTTTCGCTTGTTCCCAGACTTCATGAATTTAAGCGCTCAACTAGGCTGGCATCTCGCTCTCACTCTTTTTCTGTCAAAGTTGTTAAATGTAGCCGTCTCTTCTACTCCAATAGCTTCATGTCTCCCTCCACATTTCTTGTTTTCTTGATAACTATAATCTCCAACTATTCAAATGTAATGTCAATCGACGTCTCCAGATGCCCTAATCTATCCCCTAACCGTCTCTTCATCCTTTCCTCTATCACTCCTCTTTGTTCTCACTACAACTCTCCGTAACCCCTTGCGTGCTAGTGGCTTCCCGCCTTGCTTGGGGCTGAATGTTTAAAAAAAAGAAACATTAATAATGAGAGGGAAGAGGAGGAAAGAGTGATCAGGAGAACTGTAGATAGCGATGGACATTGCATTTACATCAGTGAGAGAAAAGTGTAATCAGGAGGAGAGTAGATAGAGATTGACATTATATTTAACCTGTTGCAGATTAATGTTGTCTGGATAGTACGGAGGTGGAAGTGAGTTCGACAAACGAGGAAAAACTGTTGGCATAGAACTAACGTTTGTATCTAACCACCGCGCCTGCAAAGTGATGAGATCTAGACGCCAGACTAGTTCTGTCCTTAAATTCATAAAGTCCGGGTATCATAGCAAAGGCTTAATCGAATCAGTTATCAGGAAAATATTTTTAAAGATTTTCATCTTCTTTTGGGATAACACTTTTCCGTTGATTTCTGGTATTACTTCAGGTTTGTTATGAATTCGTTTTTAATTCTGCAAATTAAATTCGGTTCAAAATTTGATTGAAGAGGAGTTTTAGATTTTAATCTTGCGTCAGTTGCTTCTAAATGTTCTTCGTTGTCCTTGTTAGAAAAACTATTTGTTTTCACCAACGATTGATCTCTGACGAAGGGTTGAACGAAAGGTTCCTTAGATATTTGCCTTCTTTAAATATTAAGATGCTATCAGATCTGCTATTGAAGACATTAATAGAATATTTTACCATTAATCTATCTATCTATCTATCTATCTATCTATCTATCTATCTATCTATCTATCTATCTATCTCAGTCTGTTCATTTTCTTTCTATCTATCTATCTATCTATCTATCTGTCTATCTATCTATCTATTGTTTTTTATATATTTATCTATCTCAGCCCTTCATTTATATCTATCTCCACATATATATATATATATATATATATATATATATATATATATATATATATATATATATATTATATATGTATATCTATATATCTATCTGTCTCAGGTCTTCATATCTATGTAGAAGGGTAGATAGTTCTGCACAAAAACTTCACCACCATAATTCAAATCATATTTGCTGGTGTCTGACTTTTGGATCCTAGGAACTCAGCTGCTTGATTGTCATACGTCAAATACGACGGGAGAGTCGAAAATATACATTAAAAATAAGGACATCAGTTGAATCCGCCACTTTAGTTTAAACCTTATGGTATCCTCAGGCGATTTTTATCAGTTGATCTCCCAATTTTAAATACTACTTTCTCCTCTTGAAGTCTTGCCAATTCCCACCGAAAAAAAAAACATAACGTGAGAACAGCCACGACGAACAATGAAGGGACGTCGATGGCAAACATCATACTTAGGAACTTGGCTGGTTGTACAATGTGTAAGACGACTAGATCAGATTTGATTTTAATCATGCGTCAGTTGCTTCTCTTTTTTGTTCCCTAAATGTTTTTCGTTGTTCTTGTCAGATAAAAAAAAAATATTTGTTTTCGCCAACGATTGATATCTGACAAAAGGGGTGGCCGAAAGATTACTTAGATATTTGCCTTTTTTTTTAAATATTAAGATGCTTTCATTTATGCTATTTAAGGCTTTAATGGAAGTTTTTAGTATCCATATATTTGACGCAAAATCATACTCAAGATTTTGGCAGGTCGAATAGAATGTAAGATGGCATGATGAGATTTGTTAATGTAAAAGAATCGTACAAACTAGGAAAGATTTGCTTAGGAAAGGCATGAATCCATTCTTTATCTTGCTAAATAACAGAACAGATTAGACACTCTAGATCACCGTTTCATTCATATCTTCTCTCCTCAGCTATGGGTTAAATAACAGGGTAGATTTGTCTTTCTTAACTTAGGTAGCAACTAGTCTGAGAAAACGGCAACTCTAAATTTCAAACTATGGAGAAAGAAACGCTAAATCATATCACTATTTTTTCCCAAGAATTCATGCAATCCATAGTTAATAAAGAGAATTAATCCGTGGAGAGCCATGGACGTCTATTTGCCGTCTGTTTTCAATAGCCACGTTGTTCATTGAAAATATATGCTACAGATCGATTACTTACCCTTCCTGTATTTATTCCATTCGTTGAACTCGCACCGTTTGACGCCGGCAGCGGCGAACATGATACGCAGGATCTTGGCATGTCGGCGGCCAGAGAATGTAGTTTGGTTATGTTTCGGGTTGCCATTAAACAGAAAAAGTTTCCCAGAGACAAAAATGTTGGAGTCTTTCCAACTGAAATTCGATTCTGTGTGCGCAGAACTATCACTAACTTATGATATACTTATCCGTTCGAATCTCTCTCTCTCTCTCTCTCTCTCTCTCTATCTATCTATCTATCTATCCTTATATATATATATATATATATATATATATATATATATATATATATATATAATGAGCCAAATGATACACACACACCCACAGTAATACACACGCTTACACATATCATACTCACTCACTCCCTAAGAACCAAATAACACACACACAAACACTAAACAGAGACACATCCCTCTCCAGGACCAATAAAACTGTCAAACTGACCAAGAATTCAGATAAAACATAGATCCATCCAGCTCTTATCTCAAATAACAACTTAAAAGAGACTGTTTGACCAACACAAGGAATGTTAAAAGATTCATGTTAAAAAAGATAAAAAAAAAAACAAATGAAAACTACAGACAAAAGTTCATTTTCTCCATCAAAAGACATTCATTTCTGTAGTTCATTGCTACCAGCAAGAAAGATTATTTCTTCTCCCGATGATGGCCATTTTGGTCGAAACTAGTCGAGGAATCTAAATGAAATAATAATAATAAAAAAACGAAAGAATATTAATCTACAACCTAGTGTGTCTAATGATTTTAATTTTAATTTTTTTTATTATTTATATATATATATATATATATATATATATATATATATATATATATATATATATATATATATATATATATATATATATATTAAATATTTATAATAATATATATATTCCTATATGATAGATAAACCATGAATTAAAAAAAAAATGATCATTTCACCTTACTAAATTTCAACGATTTTTAAATTAAATTAAATATAAGATAAAAATGACATTTAACTTTTCTGTAATTTAAATTATACTTGCTCTGTTTTAATAAATAAGTAGTAATTTTTTGTATTAATTTAAATATTTTTATATACATTATTAGGATTGATTTTTGAAACATGGTAATTATATATATATATATATATATATATATTATTAAATATATGTTGAATGAATAAAACATTTAATTGGTATAAATTTACATTTGAGCAATTGTCAAGGAAAAAAATGCAAAAAAATATCAATATAAAAAAACTAAATTGTTTTATATATTTAATATTGTTCTTTCTTTTTACTATAAATATATATATATATATATATATAATATATATATATATAGATATGACAGTATGAAAATAAAAAAAAAATACGAATATGCAAATATGTTGTTTAGATAATTTTATTTTCAAAATGTCAACGTTAACGTTTCGGTCTATTAGACTATAAATTAATTCATTTAAACATATGTTATTTTAAAACATAATTAACATGTTCCAAAGGCGACATTCTAAAAGTCACGAATTTAAAAGACAATAGAATTAAAGACATTAGTTCTATTTCAAACAAAACAGAATTTTGGAGTAACTTTTTAAAATCTGCGTTTTTAAAGACAAGCTAAAATCACAATATCATTAAAACATCATATTTGCATATTCGGATTTTTGTCTTTTTCCATCTATTTTTGTATCATATATATATATTTCTACATTTTGGTAATTGTATTTAAAATGGGTCTTCGATTGCGGATCATTTTAAAGATATATAATATATATATGGATTTCAGTGTGATATATATTTTCCGTCTTGGCCAGTTCCGTCACTCCTTTTCCATCTTAAGGTGTTGAGTTTCTTTAAATCAGGTCTAGGCAACCTGCTCTTTGCAAACAAAGAGATTATTTGCTTGGAAGGCTTTGTTCTGCGATTCTAACCATACTTTTTTGGTATAATTTTAATATTTTTTTCTTCTTCCGAAACGTCCATTCATTCATGTCACCCATGACAGACTTTTTTTTGCCATCATAATCATAAATTCCAGTTTGTTAACAGTTCTGACTAGAGGGGACGAAACCGGTCCTTTGGTGTATGTTTTATTTTAAACTTATGAATGGCCTTCGAAATATTACATTTCTAGTTTTTAATGCCTTAATACACTTTTGTACCGTTTCAAACCTATTTAAATATATATATATATATATATATATATATATATATATATATATATATATATGAAAGCTGTTAGAAGTTCCAATTCTGTTAGATTTGACGGATATATATATATATATATTTATAGATATATGATGTGCTTTAAAAATTTGGCAACAAATTTTTACTATCGTCTTTCCATTTTATTTGTCCCATTCGTTGAATAATTTTTGTCCATGTATTTGATTTAATTTTTCTAAAAATAAAAAAAATAAGGAGTTTCTTTAATGTCCGAGGCCATTGAAGTAATATACCCTTATTTTAGGCTTTTGTTGAATTTTGAAATTTTCAATTCTTTCGGGAATCCTCATCAACCAAAAAATAAACAAAATAATGGTCTGGTTAATAATGGAATAATTCCTCTGTCTAATTGAAGTTTTCAGAATGACTTTTAAATTTACGGAAATAAATACTGACTCACACCGATGATTAAATGAATTTTTTGAGAAAAAAAAAAAATTAGATAGGTTTCTAATTTCAAGAGTGCAATTTTTCGAACTTAATTAACCAAATCTGAAAGGCAGTTAGAGGAAATCTGTTATTTAGCAACAAAGAAAACCTGCCCTGACAGCGATTCAATTGTAAACGAAGTACAGAGGTCTGTAAAATCAATGTGCAAACGTCATATTAGCAACATACAACGTTTTTACTAGTTTTCTTTACCCAGACACACGGCAAGCCAACAGGGATTTAAACAGTAATAATGGGATAACTATTAGATTAAGGAATAATTTTTGCCTTGGTTTATTTTACGAGTTTACGTTTGTTCACATTCTGTCACGACGTGGGCGAATTACTAAATCTTAATTTCGGGAATAGGTAAATATCCACAGATTCATATATATATATATATATATATATATATATATATATATATATATATATATATATTTATATAAATTAATAATTTTTAAATATGTTTTTCGTTGTACTTCCCTGAATGCTATAATCGTTAAAAATGGAAGCTAAACCTATTCGAATTTAATTTTCAGTTAAATCAACCCCCATAAGATCCATTTCATCCTCATTCGAATTTAAGAATTTAAATTAAATTAAACGAGCATTGCTTTTAGTTTTTCCATTTTTGAAATTTGGTTATTGTCTGTAGCGAAAAAACCATTTTAAAAGAATAAGAGAACTTTTACTTTAATGTTCTCTGTATTTTTTTACATTCATCTCTCTAAATTATTTTGTATAAATAAAAATTTCAATAAGAACACCGGATTATATATTTTTTTTTTTTCTTTTCTTTATATTTGTCTGAACTCTCCGTCGAATTCGACGTATGAAGGTCTTTTGATATTCCCAGGAAATCGACAACAGCACATTTATGGTGAAGGTTTCTGTGCAAAGGGTGAACGAATAAAAAGACCTTATTGACAGATGTGAAGAAAGGTCAATAAAACGAAAGGTTATGCAGGACAAAATTCAGGTTGTATTTCCTAGACCAGTTGCCATCCAGGCTATAGAACCCAGTCTGTCCTGGTATTTATTTGCAGGTGAGAAGGAGACAAAGAAGAGGAACACCTTCCCAATTGTGTTAGCACGAGTTCAACAGTAAAATGTAATGGATTCGACATTAAATTAATTCCTCAATCCAAGGCCGCTCATCCATTACTCATTAAAATATTCTATTTGATATATATATATATATATATATATATATATATATATATAAGGTGTTATATATTTATGGGAAAAAAGTTCTCAATATCAGAGATAAAGCGTGAGTAAATATAAAAGTGAACATAGGAGTCACCACTTAGAGGCGGCAGTCTGTTTCATGCTAGACGCAATCGTCAGGCCACGTCAGGCATATATATATATATATATATATATATATATATATATATATATATAAAACTGATGGTAATAATAAACATTCTACATATATTGGTTCTACTACAAACACGATCTCCCGTAGACTTGTTTGTCATTTTCTGATTTTAGTTCTATTAAGCGACATTCCTTAGAAAAATATATCCATGTACATATTATTAGACAGATACTCACACATACACACAATAAAAAGAACCTTCAGATATTGGGGACTATCTACATTAAAACGAAGGAAGCCACACTGAACAAAATTATATTTCAATCTAGTCTCAGCACATTAGATTGCATCTAGACATCGGTTCTG